TTTGCTGTTGCATTAGTTGGATGTTGATAGGTCGCAGAGTGGTAAATCCATAATATACCACGAAACTTATACACCGACATTAAAACATACAAAAGTACAAAAATACAAAAATATACAGTCAAGTATAAACATAGTCAACCTTTGGTCTCAGTGGTTGGGTGTTATGCTCGCGGGAAGTTGTAGTGTTCCTGTGCTATAGTTTCGGGTGTCTGTTGGAGTCTGTTGTGGGTTGGCCCCCCTTAGTTACGGTTGTGGGCCCCTGTAGGTTCTCCCCTGTTTGTTTTGCTTTTGGGTTTCGCCCCCTGATCTCCCCACCCCGTTATGCCTCTGTTGGCCATTGATTGGGCCCGCGGCGTTGCCAGGTTCGGCTACATCAGCGCCGGTTCACCCAGCCACGGGTCCCAAATTTTGTGAAAGTGGCGTGACGTTTCGTGGACTAGGGCTGAGATTCTGTCCATTTCAATGGCTTCCCTGGTTTTGCGGATGATTGTGGCTAGAGTGGGGACCTCCGGGGAGCCCCAGAGTTCCGCTATCGCCCTCCTTGTAGCCAGAGCTGTTCTGTTTGCTAATTTGTTTTGGGCTCTGGTTAAAGGTTCCCAGGGTTTGGACAGAAGCCAGATCCATGGGTCTAAGGGTATATCTGTGTGGAGTAAATTGGAGACCAGGCGGGCCACCTCTGCCCATAGCGGTGCTAGTTTTGGGCATTGCCACCATTGGTGTATGTATGTTCCCCTTTGCCCACAACGTTTCCAGCAGAGGTCCGAGTCGGTCTTACCCATTCGGTATAGTCTTGCGGGGGTTAGGTACCATCTAAGTAAAGTTTTGTAGGCCTGCTCTTTGTGGTTGACACAGATAGAGATAGATGCTGTGGCCTCCCATATGTCCTGCCAGTCAGTCGGGTCCCCTGGTGGCCCCAGGTCCCTCTCCCAAGCCGCCACATATGCCATCGCTCCTGGGGCATGAGTAGAAATGAGCAGGCTATAGTTGTCAGTGATCTGGCCCTTACGGGCTGGGTTGTGTATACATGCTCGTTCGAATGTTGTGCATCTGGTGGTGGCTGCTATCCTATTATCAGGGAGTTCCAGAAAGCTCTTTAGTTGTATGTATCTAAAAAAGTCATGTGTGTTGTATGGTGAGTGTTGCTGGGGAAGGTCTTTGTATTGCATTAGTTTTCCTCCCTCAAAGAAGTGGCATAGTCTATAAAGGTCGTTGTGTTCATAGTGTGCGAAATCTTTTGGGTTCATTCCTGGGCTAGATGCTTTATTGCGCAGTATGGGTGTCAGTGGTGATGGGTTGTTGATGATAGGGAATTTTCGGGTAAGCTTATCCCAGGTGCTGATAGAATTAGCTAATGTTGGGGGTATGGGCGGTGGTATGGGCCAGGAGTTCCGTGGGACCCATATGTACAATGAGGGGAGGTCGAAGCCAAATATGTTGTGTTCTAAGTCCACCCAGCGCTTCATCCCCGGTGGAGTGTGTAGATGTTGTATCTGTGTGGCTTGCGTCGTGTGGTAATAGTGTTGTAAGTGGGGTAGGCCCAGGCCTCCCGTCCTGTTGGGGATGTACATGGTCGCCCTTTTCACTCTCGGTCGTTTATTCGACCAGATGAATTTGTCGATGTGCGACTGTAAGTATTTGAAGTCCGAAGTGGGTATGGGGATGGGGAGGGTTTGAAAAAGATAGAGCAGTCTTGGGAGAAGATTCATCTTTACCGAGGCTAGGCGTCCCAGCCATGACAAAGACAAGTCCCTCCATCTCTGCAGGTCTTCCGTGATTTTCTGGATCAGCGGTGAGTAGTTTAGTGCGTATGTGCACTGTAGTTCCGCTGGTAGTGTGATCCCTAGGTACGAGATGTGTGAGGTCTTATAATTGAAAGCATATGTGTTCCGTAGTGTCTGTCTTTGATTGTCTGGTATTGTCAGCATGAGTGCTTCAGTTTTATCGAAATTTAATTTGTATCCCGATACCTCTGAGTAGTCGTCTATGAGTTTGAGGAGAGGTGGGAGTGCGTTCTGCGGTTCTGTGAGTGACAGCATCAGGTCATCGGCGTATGCCGCCGCCTTGTATGTTTGTGTGCGGATTTTGATGCCTGTGATCTGGGGAGTGGTGCGGATAAGATGCAGTAGCGGTTCAAGTGAGAGGGCAAACAGGATGGGGGATAGGGGACAGCCCTGCCTCGTGCCATTATAGATGGAGAACGAGGGGGGGTTCGTGTTTGGTATGAGTAGGTTGGCAGTAGGATTAGAATAGATCATTCGCAGGGCGTCTTGGAATGGTTTGGGGAATCTGAGTTTCTCCAGAGTGGCGAAGAGAAATGGCCATAGTAACCTATCAAATGCCTTTTCGGCGTCCAGGGATAGGAGTAGCGTTGGAATGGAGCGCTGGGTGGCCACCCAGATCAGGTCTAGCATCCTCCTGGTATTGTCACTAGCTTGGCGAGTGGGGATGAAGCCCACCTGGTCCGGATGAATTAATGATGTGATATGTGGTAGCAGCCTATTGGAGAGTATTTTCGTGAACAGTTTGATATCTACATTCAATAGGGATATTGGCCGATAGTGGCCTGGGTCTGAGAGGGGTTTGTTGGGTTTGGGTAGAAGGCAAATGTTGGCTTGCAGCATGTCTTTGGGGAGCGGGTTTCCCTGCAGCAGGGTGTTGTATAGTTGTACTAGGTGGGGCAGGAGAGTGTCCCGGAATGTTTTGTAATAGATGCCCGGATATCCGTCCGGTCCTGGGCTTTTGTTGGGTTTGGTGGCCCCTATCGCCGTCGCTACTTCCTGCTCAGTGATCTCCATGGAGAGTTGAGTGACCGCGCTATCTGATAGTGTGGGCAGGTGGGTTCGGTCCAAAAAGGTTTGGATACGGTCCTGTAGGGTGGCGGTCCGTTGCCTATGGTGGGGGGAGTGGTCATATAGGTCTGCAAAGTAGTGTTGGAATACCTCCGCGATTTTGGTAGGTGCCTCTGTGTCATGGCCCGATGGTGTGCGTATGCGTGTTATCTGCTTGGCCTGGATGCGCTTGCGCAGCCTGCAGGCCAGGAGTGTATCGTCTTTATTGGACTTTTCGTAGAACTTTTGTTTTGTCCATTGTAGAGCCTTGGTGGCGTCCACCGCCATTGCATTGTGGAGGGCCTGTCGTTGGTGTTGGAGTTGTGTAGTGAGGTCCGGGGTGGGGGTGGCTTTATGTAGGGATTCAAGGTCCCTGATGGTCGCTAGTATTTTCTCTATGTGGGCGAGGCGTCTTTTTTTGTGTGCTGTGGCTAAGCTAATAAGGGTACCCCTGATCACCGTTTTGTGAGCAGCCCATATGATTGCGTTGGATTGTACTGTATCCTTGTTTGGAGCGAAGTAATGTTTGAGTTCTGTTGTGATTTGTTGTACCGTTTGTGGGTCGTTGAGTAGTGTCGGGTTAAGTCTCCAGGACCAGGGTCTGGAGATTCGTGGGGGCTGGAACGTGATTGCTACCTCAGCGTGGTCGGACCACGTTATGTTGCCTATGGAAGTCGTTGTTATGAGTGGAAGTAGTGACGGGGAAACCAGGAAGTAGTCTATACGTGAGTAGGTTTGGTGTGGGTGGGAATAAAAGGTGTAGTCTAGTGTGGAGGGGTGTTGCAGTCTCCATACATCTATCAGTTTGGTAGTGGAAATGAAGTCTGCCATGAGTTTGTCGTTTCTGGTCGGTGCTGGAGTCTGTGGTGGTCGTTTGAGTCTATCTGCCTGTGGCTCGATCGCGGCGTTGAAATCCCCGCCTATAATCTGGTGGGGGTTTGGGTGTAAGCTGAGATTTGCACGTAGAGTAGGCCAGAATCCCGGGTCCGGGGTTGTGGGGCCATAGACCGAGGTGATCGCATATTTGGTTGGGCCTATTGTGCCCGCCACCGTAAGGAAGCGGCCGTTGGGGTCCCTGTGTGTGGTGGCAATCTGGAGGGGGCAAGTTTTCCTTAGGAGAATCGCCACTCCATTGTGTTTGCCTGAGTTGGAGTTGGCGAAGTAGCAAGCCTGGAAGTGGCGGCTCAGGAGAGGGAAAGGCCGTGTGTCTGCATAGTCTCTCCTCCTGTAGTAGGAGTATATCCGCTTTGCTGCGGTTTGCCCATCTCATGAGTCGGTGTCGTTTGGCGGGGTTATTCAGCCCTTTGCAGTTGATTGAGATGCACGTCAGGTTAGCTGTCATGGTTGTGTGGTGGAGTGTGGTTCGCTATTACCTCCCCCCAGTGGTAGACTGTGTCCCGTATGTCTAAATGTTGTGTCCGTCATGTTTCCTCCTGCTGAGACCAATTCAAACCATTGAACTAGGATTAACATTGAAAACCAAATAAAACAGAAAAAACAAACGCCTGGTCTTATGGTTTGCGCCAGGCCGAATGGAGTGGGGTGTGTGGAGTCGTCCCCACCTGGGTGGGTCTCGTGACCCCCGTACTGTGCTGAGTGGTGCATTGCACAGTGCGGTCTCCGTGTGCTTCCCGCTCTGGGCATAGGCGGGCTGTAATCAGTGCCCCGGGGTGGGTTCGCTCTGGGCCTTCTCTATCGGGTCTAGTGGGTATGTGCTGGTGATCAAACATAGCTGCGTTCCTGGGGGAGCCACCAGGGCTTCCTGTCTCATTTAGTGAGATTCGCCAATGGTACGTACCTCCCCCTTGCCCCCCCCATCCTTCCCATCCCGTGTATACCTCCTCTCCTTTCCTTCCCCCCCTTTCGTCCCCAGATGCTCTAGTGCCTTACCTTCCCCCCCCTTTTTTCCCTCGCTTTAGGCCCTTGTCAGCGCCCTGTAGTGTCGTCCCCGTAACTATTTTGTGTCCCCTAAGACCTTAGTAAACCATGGCTAAAGTAGCGCCATAAAACTCAGTGTAAAAGGATATGGTGGTGTGCGTTCCTGCACTCAGAATTAGATCAAAAAGTTTGGAAGTCCCTTTAAGTCTCTTAGGATAGTCTCTGCCTGAGAGTGGTTGAGTCCATGGTGGACTGGTTCCATGCCATTCAGGTGTCCCGGTCGCGAATCTGCAGCGATGTCTGCTGCTGGCGCTTGGGTGGTCGGCTCCGGGGTGTCCGAAGTTTTTCCCAGAGTGGCGTCCTTTGTGGTCTGGCGTTGTCCGCTGGTTTTCTGGATTGCGCTCATGCTTCGGGTAGGCTGATGCCCAGTGCGGCAGCGAAGGGCGCCATTTTTGAGGTATCTTGCAGGACGTGGGTACTATCATGTTGGCGGACTAGTAGCTTGAAGGGGTGTCCCCATCGGTATGGTATGTTGGCTTGTGCCAGTGCGCTGGTTAGGGGTTTGAGCTCTCTGCGTTTCATTAATGTGGTAGGTGAGACGTCTTGGTAAAACTGAAGAGTGATGGCGTCAAATTTTGGCGGAGTTTTTCGTGTGGCCGCCATGATGGCTTCTTTAACAGTAAAGTAGTGAAGGCGTACTATTACATCTCGGGGCGCCATTTGGTTTTGGCTAGGAGGTTTGAGGGCTCTGTGCGCCCGGTCTATGGCGAGGTCTTGTGGCGTTGCTTCTGGAAGGATTGTAAGTAACAATTTGCGCAGCGTGGAGAGCAGCATGTCAGGCGTGACTGTTTCGGGGAGGCCCCTAATCCTTATGTTGTTACGCCTAGAGCGATTATTTAGGTCTTCCATACCTGTCTCTAATTCTTCCACTTTGTTCCTCAGTGTAGTGAGCTCAGCTTGGTGCATATTGAGGTTTTCAAGGAGTTCATCTGCCCTCTGCTCCACCTGTCCTGTCCTCTCCCCCAGGTCAGCCAGGTCAGCCTTCAGGAGTTGTAGCTGTTTTCCAAGTTCAGCTGCCATATGTGTCTTTATATCTGCTGCAGGTTCTTGCAGCAGTAGTTGCAGGTCCCTCTTGGTGATCGGTGTGGAGGCTGAGCCTGCTGCCTCACTGCGGTCTGAGTCGGATGCAGAGTCTTCCCGCCGTTGTGGGGAAGATGGCGTCTGGCCTCGTGGTTGCCGGAACAGAGGGGCCACGGATGGCGGCTGCTCGTTCTTTTTCCGCCCCCCCCCCCATGTCCGCTGGTGGCTGTGGGTATTCCGGGGTGTGGACTGCGTCTCTGGGGGTCCGTGCACCGAGTGCGGCTGGATTTGTGGCTGTTTGAATATGCCCATCGGCGGGAGCGTTCGCGCTATGCGGCCATCACAGCTCGCGGTCAGGCTCCGCCCCCCAAATTTCTTTTTTATATCATTTGTTGGGTCCTTATTTAATTTTAAATAAGTTACCTGATCACCTAACAAATTATAGGCTTCCTCAAGATAGTATTCTTTATCCATAATTACTGTGCCCCCCCCCCCCCTGTCTGCCGGCTTAATAACTATTTCCTTGTCTTGTCTCAATTCTTTTAATGCTTTTTGTTCCTGTAATGAAAGATTTAATTGATATTTATTCAATGGTTTCAATCTTTGGATTTCTTTATTCACTATATTTTGAAAAGTAGTCATTTCGTCTGATGAATGCCATTTTGGAAAAAACACAGATTTTTCTTTTAAATTAGTGTGTATAACTTCATCGTATAAATAAGTCTCTGACTTTAAAGGAGTTAAAGGAGCTTCTTTATAAAAATGTTTTTTAAACATAGTTTTCTCATAAATTTTTGTAAATCCACGTAAAATTTTAATTTGTCTATTCCCTTTGTAGGCGCAAATTTTAAGCCTTTTGCTAATAGTTCTAACTGTTCCACTTTTAAAACCTTTTTAGATATATTAAAAATACCTTTAGGGATTTGAGTTATACTTGTTTTTTGTGATTGCTCTTGTTTTCCTTGTTCGTTAATTAAATTCTTTCTATTTTTCTTATTTACTCTCTTTCCCCCTCTTCTCCTTCCA